ATAATTGTGTCTCTAAAAAATAGATCTAAAAAAATGGATAAGTAAAGTAATGGTTAAGTATTCCCAAAAGACTTAATAGAATAAAGAAACATGTGAATCTTTAGACTTAAAGGGCAAATTGTGCCTAGAAAAGTGACAGACGAAAATCAATAAACTTAGCAAAATTATTACACTAAAAAAAAAAGAGAGAGAATACTGTGGGCATCCAAGCAATTAAAAAAATCAATTCATGGGGCTTCCCTGGTGGTGCAGTGGTTGAGAGTCCGCCTGCCGATGCAGGGGACACGGGTTTGTTCCCCGGTCCGGGAAGATCCCACATGCCGCGGAGCGGCTGGGCCAGTGAGCCATGGCGGCTGAGCCTGTGCGTCCGAAGCCTGTGCTCCGCAATGGGAGAGGCCACAGCAGTGAGTCGCCCGCGTACCGCAAAAAAAAAAAAAAAAAATCAATCCACCTGTAAAGATGGGAAAAAAATTTTCTGGTTCCAGTTTTCTGATACTGCTCCTTGGCATCACTCAACAGTATTAAGAAAGTAAAACAATGCCTTCAATTCTAAGGAAAACAATTGTGATTCAGTAACTTTATACTCAGCCTAATTATTGGTCATGTGTAAAGAAAATAAACAATTTGGTTGAAGACTGCATTGTTTTCACAAATCTTCCGGAAGAATGTGTTATAGAGAAAAGTTCAGGCATTGGAAGTAGTGGAAAAACTCCAGCAGTAGTACTGGAAAAGATTGTTGAGGCAATTTGAACAAAGGTCAAAAGAAATGCATGGCTTCTGATCATAGACCAGAATATTCCCAAACCATAACAACATAGAAATGATATATGGTGTAAAAAAGTATAATACTCTGAAGTTCACACCTTTTATAGATGAGGGGAAAAGGTATCATTTAAAGATGATAAATAAAATAGGGACTTAATATATTCAGAGTCAAAGAGTTAATAGGAAAAATAATATAATAAGTACAGTAGGGTGATGGAGGGGGAGAAGGCAGAAAGATAATTTTGTCAATGCTCATGCTAGGGAATAAATAAAATCAAAAGGAATAATAAAATACATCTATCAAATGAAGTTTAATTATAAAGATAATAATCAGAAATAATAGAAACCTTTTCTATTACAGTAAAATGCACATAAGAATGTAGGATAGAAGATGAAAAAAAGAAGAAACTATTTAAATAGTTTTACAGGTACTGATGTAAATATAATAATGTTCAAGATATATTGTTAAATAGAGAAAAGTTGTAAAAGAGCATTGCAAAATTGTATGTGTGTGTTTGTTCATTAATATCCTTAATGTATATGCTCGTGTATTAATGGCATAGCACTTATTTCTCTTAAATGATACCCTACTGCATAATAGCTATCTCAAGAGAGGCACTATGTAGCTACTGTTATTGTTATTATGTTATGACCTTATATCCTAATAAATCAGTATTTTTTATTAATATCACATGCTTAACATAAAACTATATGTAGTACCTACATGTGAGTACCTACATGTACAGTTGGGCTAAGAAAATAAGACTGGAAAAATTAGAGAGTGGTACAAGATGCAAATTAATTCTCAGTTATGTTACACAAATCTACGAAACCTTCTTAGATTATTGCAACCTTTGGTTACTGACCTCCCTTCCCTTTGATTTTTCACAGCAATTTAATCTGTAATGTATTTTAACATTGTACTGTATCTTTGTCATTTTCTAACGGTTCAATATATGATAGTTTTGTCTTTATGGAAGAGATGAGACTGATTGTCAGTCCCTTTGACTCCAAATCCAGTTATTCAACACAGTCACAGGAAGCAGAATGATAGACATCAACAATAAACATCTATAATTATTATAACACCTGCTAACATGTATTGTGCGCCCATAGATGATGAATAAGAAACTGAGACACACAGTGGTTGATTACTTTGCCCCAAATCAAAAAATAGTAAGAGACAAAACTTGGATTAAAAGCCAGGGAGGCTGGCCCCAGAACTGGTGCACATAACAGTACATTAGAAGTGTGACACTGCTCACTAACTTCTCTTTCTCCATGGGCGAAAGACAGGATATAATGACTTATTTTATAAAGTTGCTACAACAATTATTAAGAAGAGTACATCTAAGAGCTTTGTAATCCATGAAGCTCTCTAGCAAATGCACAATATTACCGATGCCATTGTATCTTCTTGCTGCCCTTGTTACCACCATGTCATATAGGCTAAACTCACAGAAGAGCAAAGTTTTCACTTAGATTCCTGTAGAGGTCACTTGCTTTTACGATCATTTACTGACTTTGAAATCTCAACGTGCATGTTCCTGCTCAGATTGTACTATACTCAAGCCCCCAAATAAGCTTATATTCTACTGAGAAAGACTGCCAACAAGGCATAATGTGATAAGGGGCGTAATGAAGTTCTGAGTTTTGTGCAAATACCTAATAGAGAGGAGAGGAGAAGGGGAGGATTGTGAGACTCAAAGAGTTAGACAAATGTCTCCCAGGTTAGAAAGAAAGACCAGCAATTTCAAATTCTAATAATCTTCCCTGGAGTGAAGCATCAACAAGTTTCACATTGTATTTATGCTACACAGCAATATTTTTGCATTGTCCTCAGTCCCCCCTTTCCTGCATCTATTCCCACAAAGACTGTCCTTGACCAACTCCAGAAATGAATTTGATTTCTCTAATGCAGAAGGTAATTGGATTTTTCTTTATTGAATGCATCCCTTTAATGACTGTCTCTGCTCCTGCCAATTTAGCTGCAAGTGACCTGACATTGATCTGATGATATGACTTAAAGAGTTGGAGCTGGGAGTGAAAAAGACCAGCTGTCTGGCATCAGAAAAAATGTTTTTTGCCTCATCTTGCTATTTTCCTGAGAAAATCCTTTGTCCTTGAATGTCATTTTTCCAAAACATGCTGCTGTGATAATTGGTCATATAGCAGCAGATTGCTTCCTTCTAGAAAATATGATAAGTATTTCCCAGAAATTCAAAGGATCGTGAGAGATTACTACAAACAACTATATGCCAATAAAATGGACAACCTGGAAGAAATGGACACATTCTTAGAAAAGCACAACCTTCCAGGACTGAACCAGGAAGAAATAGAAAATATAAACAGACTAATCACAAGCACTGAAATTGAAACTGTGATTAAAAATCTTCCAACAAACGAAAGTCCAGGACCAGATGGCTTCTCAGGCAAATTCTATCAAACATTTAGAAGAGCTAATACCTATCCTTCTCAAACTCTTCCAAAATATTGCAGAGGGAGGAACACTCCCCAACTCATTCTACGAGGCCACCATCACCCTGATACCAAAACCAGACAAAGACGCCACCAAAAAAAAAAAAAAAAACTACAGGCCAATATCACTGATGAACATAGATGCAAAACTCCTCAACAAAATATAGCAAACAGAATCCAACAGCACATTAAAAGGATTATACACTGTGATCAAGTGGGGTTTATCCCAAGAATGCAAGGATTCTTCCATATACGCAGATCAATCAATGTGATACACCATATTAACAAATTGAAGGAGAAAAACCATATGATCATATCAATAGATGGAGAAAAAGCTTTTGACAAAATTTAACATCCATTTATGATAAAAACCCTCCAGAAAGTAAGCATAGAGGCAACTTACCTCAACATAATAAAGGCCATATATGACAAACCCACAGCCAACATCGTTCTCAATGGTGAAAAACTGAAACCATTTCCACTAAGATCAGGAACAAGACAAGGTTGCCCACTCTCACCACTCTTATTCAACATAGTTTTGGAAGTTTTAGCCACAGCAATCAGAGAAGAAAAGGAAATAAAAGGAATCCAAATCGGAAAAGAAGACGTAAAGCTGTCACTGTTTGCAGATGACATGATACTCTACATAGAGAATCCTAAAGATGCTACCAGAAAACTACTAGAGCTAATCAATGAATTTGGTAAAGTAGCAGGATACAAAATTAATGCACAGAAATCTCTGGCATTCCTATATACTAACGATGAAAAATCTGAAAGTGAAATCAAGAAAACACTCCCATTTACCATTGCAACAAAAAGAATAAAATATCTAGGAATAAACCTACCTAAGGAGACAAAAGACCTGTATGCAGAAAATTATAAGACACTGATGAAAGAAATTAAAGATGATACCAACAGATGGAGAGATATACCATGTTCTTGGATTGGAAGAATCAACATTGTGAAAATGACTGTACTACCCAAAGCAATCTACAGATTCAATGCAATCCCCATCAAACTACCAATGGCATTTTTCACAGAACTAGAACAAAAAATTTCACAGTTTGTATGGAAACACAAAAGACCCTGAATAGCCAAAGCAATCTTGAGAAAGAAAAACGGAGCTGGAGGAATCAGGCTCCCACAGTTGGAGGGAATGGTGAAAACATCACAGTGGTGATGTGACTTTACCCAAGACGGGCAGGATTTGTGCACCTGAGAAAAAGAGGTAGAACATTTTTGGAACAATACTGGATAATTAGAATAATATGCCATAAAAAGGGTTCGTGTCTTATATCTCACACATCATTGAAGGGAAAAAGGGAGAGAAAGGAAGGTAATAGTTTGACTAGTGATATAGGTAAAACTCTAGACACGTCAGGAAATGTTTGAATTTTGGGGTTTCTGATTTAGACAAACTTAAAAAGAATGACATTTTATTTATTATGTTTTTTTTCTATGGAGAAGTTAATAGTATCTTAAAGATGCCTCCTTGGATAAGGTAATCTTGATGTTTTTTAAAAACATATCACTGTTTGATATGTTGAACAGCCTTAAATATGCTCATTCATTATGTGAAGTCAAATGAACTGTTAAAACTTTTAACTGAAGTATATTCTTCTAAATTTTTCTCTGCATATATTCTAATGTTAAAATACATACGTATTTTATTCTTAGCAAAATATGAATTATATACATATTTAAACCTGAATGGAAGATTTCTGAAAGTACTAAATAAGTTTCTTTCATTGCTTCAGGTCACTGATATGATGCTTCAGGACAAGCCCTATCCTGATTGGGGAAAATCTGCAAGAGCTTTCTGGAAGAAAGGAAATGTTAGGATTATTTTATTCTGGTAAGAGATTGTTTCATTTATTGACATATGTCTTGCCTCATTCACAAGGACTTGAGGTGGATTTCGTTTTCTTTAGATATATAAAATTCTATCTAGAGAGGCACTTCTAGTGGACACTGTGCTCCATTAAAATGATGAAAACCATTATCCTATTTATCAATTAATTTCTGCTTACACATTGTTGTATATACACATTTACAAGAGATACATTTACTAATATAGTAAAGCGAATAAGATTTTACCAGAGGTAAGTAGGTTTTTGAGTCAGCAAAAATAAGCTATAAGTTTCATCAATGGAATCGGGTATAAAAATGTCCCCAGTAAGTACTGAATTTCCAGTGTATTTGACAGGATATAATTTTGCTTTGAAGAAATCATACAGTGAAGGAACCTCTTTACAGACCACATCTGGCTCTTCGGCACTTCTTTTTTTTTTTTTTTTTAACATCTTTATTGGGGTATAATTGCTTTACAATGGTCTGTTAGTTTCTGCTTTATAACAAAGTGAATCAGTTATACATATACATATGTTCCCATATCTCTTCCCTCTTGCATCTCCCTCCGTCCCACCCTCCCTATCCCACCCCTCCAGGTGGTCACAAAGCACCGAGCCAATATCCCTGTGGCACTTTTTGTACCAATAATTTCCTTTAGCTCTCCAGCCCAATCATTGCAATTAAAAAACAATCCATGTCTTATGGAACTTTGTTTTTTGTGGAGTCAACATTATTTATGTATATTTGAAGAAGCTTAGACAGAAATGGTAGGAATATAGAGACAGCAAGAAGGGCACTTCCACCAGGCCGTGTGACAGTGATTCAACCCAATGTATGAAAAGTTATCTACATTAACACCCAGAAGCCTTGTAATTGATGATGACTTGTGCTTCCTAAATTGCATTCTGTTCACCTACCTTTCAAAATGAAAAAAAAAGTCTGTTTATTCTTGGATCTAACTCTGAGGGTTGATTTTTTTTCATGTACAAGCTACAAAAGTCATGGTCACTAAGTACTTGGGGGAAAATATACACTCTAAGCTATCTTTGTGCTTTAGCACTATTACTAAATGTTGCTTCAGATATATGGCATTTTGAACTCAATTAACAGCAAGTAAACAAAAAGTAGATTTTTCAATAACGTTGTGAAGATGAATATGATTTTGTAGATGTTTATTCACAACTTGCCTCTGAGTCAAGTGTGGCCTATTTTATGGCACATTTAACCTTCATATTGTTTCCTGTTTGTAAGCTCCCCATGTAGCTTGACTAAATAATATGTAATATTATAATTTTAACAAGTATTCATTGAAGATATGTTTTGCTCCAGGCACTATGCTAAGAACTTACTCATTTAATCCTGATAACCCTGTAAGTAAGTGCTATTATTATAAGCATAGGTCTCTGAATTCAGGGCCCCAGTTATTAAGCATTACATTAGACTGTCTCTAGAAAAACAAAGGATACATCGGTGTGCAAATTCCAAATGATTATCCTTAATCCTTGTTTAGATAATGGTGCTAAATAAGAACGTGAGATTCTGGGAAATCATTCTACCCTATAGAATTCTGTACAGGGGTTTTAAGAATCATAATTTAAAAGGAGATAAACTCTAATGTTAAAAGTCTTTATGGACTATCTCTCTTTTAAAATATCTACTTACTATGTTTACAGATATTTTGTATCATTTAATGTATCTTCCAAGGAAGCCCATTGATTATTGTTCAATGTGGCCAGTTACCAAGGTCACATGTATATCATTTGCAAAGATGAGCCATGCATATCTGAATGCCTCTATTATTGTTGTCATTAGCTACTCTTAGTTGCAATCGTTGTTTCAGAGGAGAGGAATCCATACTAGATTTCTCCTTAATCATCTTAGTACATTTTCCTTGAACGTTATTACTCAAATCTACATATTACCAATCTGTTTATACAAGTGTGTTTATTTTTGACATATGTGATAACACAGTCCCAATGGATAATCTAAAGCATATTTTGAATGTTGTAAAATAATTTAATTAGTCACTGACAAATAGATAATATTCTTAAATGGAGAGCAAACTAAAATTCACACTTATTCTTGTAGTCATTGTTTCTGTAAAATTATTGATTATTAGGTAATATATTTGAGAGATGATTTTTATTGTTATGTTTCAGAAGTAATATTTCAAATCATGGAGAGCATAAAACAACTGGAGGAAAATTTAAATGCCACTTTGAACATATTTTTTTCCTATTTTATCCATTACATACTGTTAGATTATCTTGACAACAGTATTCATGGTTTTAAAAAAGAAAAATCTGATGCAAAATGTTGAACATGGAAATTATGTGGGAAGCAAAAAATCTCCCTTTTTGTTCATACTTTTCAGATAAAAGGGATTTAGCAAGTGTAAAGGGCATTTGTTTTTTTAGCTCTAGGAGATAAAAATACAGAAATCATTGGCAAGGTTTTAAATGAAATAAAAGATAGCATTTACATACTATGTGTCACCCACTCAAAAAGAGGTATTTTCTTTTGGTTTTACCCTAGTTAAGGAGAGACATATTCGTGTAATAAATCTGTGGTGAAGAAATTTTGCAAAGGAAAGCTTTTATACATTGCAATGTGATTATGAGCTTAAACAGTACAACATGCAATTTTGTTGTAGTAAAAGTTACCTTTACCTAAGTGTAGCTGCTTTCACTCACAAATGCCTGTCAGAAACTATTTCATTTGCAACTGTGTGGCTAAGTTCTTTCTGATTCTTAGTGACAGATGTCTCTACATTGGAAAGAATTGTTCCTATTTCTTTCTGTAATTGTGCAAAGATGAGTCTGCTATAACACATGGGCCTCTATGCCTGGGAGGAGACTAAATGGTGGTTGATTTGAAAATACTAAATGGGAAAGGGCAGACTATTTATAGAACTTCCCTTCCAAAGCCCCATTCCCAGCCCTTTTGTTAATTAAAAAGAATAAAAATTTAAAATCAAAACCCTAGGTTAATGCCATATACTGTTCTATTTTCCAGAAGGGCTACCAATACCCATTTTCACTCACCTGTGTCTGAAGTAAATGTATACATAAACGTAGACATAAAAAAATAAGTCGTATGATATTTATATTAGCTTCTATCTCCCCGCTTTATTTACTCTCTAGAGACACAATTGATATGCTTTTGAGGGAAAGCATCTTGGGATATTTCCCAAAGGCTCAACTTTTTAAAAAATAAGGAAGACACTCTTCTGTGATTAGTCGGGGAATTGGTGGAGGAAGGAGTTGGGAGAGCTCGTGGTCATTAGGGCTTCCCGGATAATTCAATTCCTTGGCTTGGAGACACACGAGAGGTTTGCACCTTTCTGCCTCCTCTGATCACATGACTTGCTTAGACCAATTAAAATGTGAGTGAAAGAGGCTTGTGTCACCTCTAGGTAGAAGCATTTAATTGCCAGCGAGAAGCACTGAAAGGGGCTCCTTTCTAGGTAGCCGTTGTGGAAGTTTGTGTCTAGCTGGAGCACTTGTCATTCAGCTTCCCTGAATGACCTGGATAAGCCCAGCATCCTTTACAACACATGTAGTGTGAGCGAGGAATATACCTCTGCAAATGGTAAGCCATTGAGATTGGGGGATTATTTGATACTGCAACATAAACCAGCCTATCCTGATGTATCCAGTCACTGATCCCTGGAAATGGAGTGCTGTCACAGCAGAAAGCAGAAATTTTAGTCTTGAGGGCTGGAAAGCAAATGGCAAGAAAACCAATGAAGGCTGGAAAGATAGTAATACAGGTATTATAGTGGCAAAGCATTTGGTAAAAACTGTGGTCTGTGATTACTTAGATACCTGGAAATGGGAAAACAGTGCATTGCTGTGTGCATCTGTGTACAACTGTCCACTTCCATTCCACTCTGTTGCACAGAGAAAATTATGTGGGTTTTTTTTTGATGATTAGTATATTTATATTTTTAAAAAGTACTTTATCTAGTGCTATCATGGTTTGGGTGGGCATCTTTTGATCATGATTAGCTTTATTCTTGACTGAGAAACAAATGAGCTGCTGCTGGTTTTCCTGCTTTGAGTATCATGGTTATTATTCAAGTCTAACAAGGTTGTTTAACTTTGACCATTCAAGAGCTAATCAAGAAACAATTATTGTCTTTTTTTTTTTAATGGGGAAACTTCTTTATTTTTTTTATTTTTAATTTTTTAACATCTTTATTGGAGTATAATTGCTTTACAATGTTGTGTTAGTTTCTGCTTTAGAACAAAGTGAACCAGCTATACATGTACATATATCCCCATATCTCTTCCCTCTCGCATCTCCCTCCCTCCCACACTCCCTATCCCACCCCTCTAGTGGTCACAAAGCACCGAGTTGATCTCCCTGTGCTATGCGGCTGCTTCCCACTAGCTACCTACTTTACATTTGGTGGTGTATATATGTCCATGCCACTCTCTCACTTTGTCCCAGCTTACCCTTCCCCCATCCTGTGTCCTCAAGTACATTCTCCAGTAGGTCTGAGTCTTTATTCCCATCCTTCCCCTAGCTTCTTCATTGCCACTTTTTTTTTAGATTCCATATATATGTGTTAGCATACGGTATTTGTTTTTCTCTTTCTGACTTACTTCACTCTGTATGACAGATTCTAAGTCCACCCACCTCACTACAAATAACTCAATTTCATTTCTTTTTATGGCTGAGTAATATTCCATTGTATACATATGCCACATCTTCTTTATCCATTCATCTGTCAATGGACACTTAGGTTGCTTCCATGTCCTGGCTATTGTAAATAGAGCTGCAGTGAACATTGTGGTACATGACTCTTTTTGAATTATGGTTTTCTCAGGGTATATGCCCAGTAGTGGGATTGCTGGGTTGTATGTTAGTTCTATTTGTAGTTTTTTAAGGAACCTCCATACTGTTCTCCATAGTGGCTATATCAATTTACATTCCCACCAACAGTGCAAGAGGGTCCCCTTTTCTCCACACCTTTTCCAGAATTTATTGTTTGTAGAT